CATTATCGTCGTCGCGTTGGTCGTGTATATGTAAAATATGAAGAAACTTGGACTCGGGAAACTTGAACTCGATTGAGAATCGAGGGTCGCCGGCTGCTGAGATTAGACAGCACTCCAATTTTCTTAACGCGTTGGCTGCTGCGGTATATGTTTGGTTGCAGTTGCGAACAGTGAGCGCTAGATATTAAGTTTCATTCTTTCCACAACCGTGCTTTCGATGCTTAAGATAAGAAAAATTGTACAGAAATTTAAAGTAAGCAGTATGTTTGTTTCCTTACGAGTAATAAACTTTTTATGCGCAGCGACTTTATGATTACCAGGGAATGTCATTTAGTTCTTGCAATAATCAGCTACAAAACAACACAGAGTGTTTCTTCATATAGTCAATAATTTAGAAACGAGCATAATTTAATGCTTTTCTAAAAATCTTAAGGCTGCAAGATTAATTTCAAGGCCGAGAAAATTAAAATTACATTAATTTTTCCGAGAATTGTGAGAATTAATTAACATCATTGTCGCATCAAATCCTTTAATTAAAGTCGTTTGTTTGGATGGAGATAAATGCGTAATACGATTGCGACCTATCGCATCCTCTAATCATCCAACGCACCCCGATCACCGCTTTAATCACAGTCCAAAAGTCAGCTTTGATACCATCTCGCTGTCTCTCTGTCTCTCTAAGCGCGACCGATTTAAGAAGGGAACGCCTCGCACTCGCCTGCTGCCTTTCTACGGAAGAACGAGTATACCCAGAACGAGACGCACAGTAGAGCGACTCGCGTGAGGCAGGTCAGCGACGTCGGCTCGCGACGAGGGGAGCGCTTCGTTTTAAACGGGCTTGATCAAGCCATTCGCATTCCTCGTAGTTCATGCGTGTGCCTCGCCCGCTGCCTCGCAGATTCGTCCTTCGTGTTCGTGCGACGCGGCGGCGATACACTTCGTGCCGAATGAGCGTGATACTCGCGCGCTTAAGGCCTATGTCGTGGGCGACGGAATCGCCGAGGAGCCAGGGACATGTTCACGAGACACGAAATGTTTCTAACATCTGTACTCTCATATATGCCGATATCATATTTTTTGGCATTTTAGCTTCGATGAAAGTTAACAAATCGAGTGAAAGTTTACTAAATCGCAAACAATATTCGTGTCCAAAAATAAACATATATTTTGATACACCGATATTGAATTTTGATACTTTATATTTGATGTCTTTATGATCTGAAAAAATCATTCTGAAATCGTTCCTCATTAAAAACGTAAATGTTGCAAATAATGATTAGAATACTTTGCATAATTATCACAGAGAAATTCCAGATTAGTAGATCGAGAATTCGCGATTTAACACATTGCAAATTAAATTTGTATAAATATCACTTTGACATAATATTAGAAATGACAGCTGAATTTTGCTTTATGCAAAATCATAAAATAATAAAAATATGAATAAAATTGAAAGAAAAATGGTTTGCAATAAAATGTAAACGCGCGAATACAATGGAAAAGAAAATTACACAAGTTTCTTTGCTGGACTATTTTTCAGATCAATCAACGAAAACGCGACATGATTGCATTATTACGAGGATGACAATCGCGCGAGATTCTTGACGACGCAACACGACAACAGAGCACGTATATGCGTCATCATTCCGTGGCAAATTGCGCGCGAAGCTGATAGGTTATTCAAGGACACGTAGCTGCGAAGGCGAATAGCGCATTTTTCTAGACTATTGATTGCATCTACCGAATATAGGGTAATATTCAATCTGCTTAATGGCACGACGTGCACCGTCCTCGATTTCATCTCACCGCCACGCGCAACGACGGTGAGATACCGTCGGCTGTTTTCCTTTTTTCTTTTTTCTTTCGTTCCACTTCTGCACTTAGGCAAAATACTCTCATTGTTCTTTACGCAGGAGCGAGCCCGCCTTCTCTATTCAGCGTACCAAGAAAATGCGTTTCCCGATAGCCGACTTACGTCGACGTTGCCTGCGCATTTGCAGCCGTATTCCAAGGAAATGAAAACTTTAATTTGTGCATGATATAAAATAATTTAGTTATATTAAAGTTATAAAAAATAGTATCAAATATACGTATATGCTACGCTAATAAACAAACTCTTGAAAGGAATTGCAGAATATTAACGATTATCTTTATGATGGTATGAAGAAAGGAGAGCGTGTTTTGAATGCATCACTGCGGAAAGAGTAACATTGAGAGAAATCCACTTATTGAAACACTTTTATGGGAATACTACGTTTGCTGCGGCGAAACGCCATAGGTTTCGAAATAGCTATGCGAATTTCTCTCTCTCTCTCTCTCTTCGCGCACGCGAATCACAAAACATTGAGAGAGTTCGATTATTTCAGGAAGAAAAATAAGCAACTGACGTAAGTATCAAAAATAAAATGTCTTTACGTATTCTTCTAAAAATCTTAAATTATTTCCTTATTTGAGTTCTCCTGTATAAACACTATTTAAAGATTAACTACTTCAAACCACTGTGTATTCTTCATCTTTATTTTTTAGTGCCATTTTATTTCACTCTCTTATAGTAGCCTATTTCGCGAATAGATATATTATACACACACACACACACACTTCGATATTACATCTTTAGCTTCTAAAAGCGCGAATTTTATATTTGTGAAAAAATCGATGCACGAAAACATGACAAAAATAGCAAAACAAATCCAATTATTTATCGATTGACTTGATTTATATCATAATATAACACAAATACACCTGCGATATTTATGTGTGATTCGTATCGCGAACGAGGAAGTTCTCTAATGTTTATCGAACACGAAGGATCGTTCGACCTAGAAGGAATTACGGCATGTAAGAAACACATTCGAGAAACCAATGTTAATTGGTCGAGATTAGAAAATCGGCACGAGCGGAATAAGAAAACGCCCCTCATACGGATAGGAGGAGAGAAGGGATCTGCCGGTTCGAGAGACAGGTGAGTGAGATTGAGATTATATAGAGAGAGAGGCGCATGAGAGTCCCTAGCAGTGGGTCACGCATGGAAAACTGGAACGGTTTCATCTCCAGGCGGAAGACTCGATTTTTCTTCGCGGGAGAAACTACCGATTTTTCTTTCGATCGAGCGTTTCTAGGTTACAAGTAAATAAGAGCGCGGCGCGTACCGTCGTTTCGCGCTGCGTCGCGCAAGGAATGGTCTCCCTATTTTCGCTCCGCGACATAATTTCCGTCGACACGAAACGAACAGCACGGTGAATCCTCGCGTACTCTTCTCTCTCTCTCTCTCTTTCTCCGCGTATAAAAAAGGAAACCTGTCTCGAAATCCGCATTTTCGCGATGTCATTTAAATTTCACGCTGTCGAGAGGCAAAATGAATTAGCAATTTCCTCACCAGTGCAATCGTGTCCATGCATATTGTAAATAATTAAGTAAAATTATATAATAATTGAATTTTCTTAAAATACGCATTAATAATTATATACCATTATGGCAATTATTATAGCTTCCAAATATTTTATTTTATATTTGTGAATAATTCGCCAAAGTTAAAGCTTTAAACACTCTATCGTTTTGCATTGCCGCGCGACTACACGGAGAAAATTTTATATCAAAAACTATGTACGCAGTAGTCGCGGACCATGAAAGAATTATAAACATTTTTACTATGTTTTTCATACAATGGTCATAGTACTTAAGCTTATAATTTCTTTTATGATTCACGGGTACTGCCGTAGTAATTTTTGATATAAAATTTTCTCCGTGTACATATCCGAAATGCAAATGCAATATATTCGCGACAGCAATCTCGCACGTGTTTTGCGCTGATATAAAAATGCTCAGTGGAGCGGACAATATTTTTGATAACGCGCGTGTTATCCTCCGCGAATCTTGCGGAAGAGTCGTTGATCGAGGGTCAGATTTTGAACGGCGATAAAAATCGCACGGCGCATTGTTTATATACGCATGAACGCGCGTATCATTGATCTCCGTAGCGGCGATAAGAGATTCGCCAGTCTTTTACTGTTATCAGTAATACACGAGTAATAACATCGAAGAGTAACATATCAAAGACAGGAAGGAATGATACGGACGATACGGACGATACGGACGATACGACGAATGCAGCGTGATCAGCACACTTTTCTGGTAAAAATCATAAAGCTCATAATAGCACGGCGAATCGATTAGTTCCGGCATAAATCTTCTGATCTCGACACACCGTGTAAACACCGGCATTTTTAACGCATCGTGCTCGCTCGCGCAGTTGAACGCTTTTATTTACCGATTCTCTTTTGCGCGAATGCCATTCGCGTGGCGAAAGAAACCGCTTGATAGAAAACCAACGGATGATTATTCCGCGAATCAATAACTATGCATTGAAAACTATTGTATATTCTATATTATCCTATATGCTCTCTGAGCGATTAACCTGCTTTTGCTACCGCATCAATACTTTTAATTGCCGGGAAGATACCAGTTTATATCGTAGGATATCGCAAGGAAGGCATATATTAGAAATAAAATTTAGATAACTGACGATCGTGATAGTCTGTATAAGTTTCTCAAACTTTTTTGTAAAAATTTCATCCAAGTTTTTATTAACAAGTTGTTTAATTTCTAAGTTTAGTTAGACCTTTAGGTAATGAGCTGTTTAATTTAGTAGTTTCAGTTCTTATAAAAGTAATTTGCGCGATGTGCTCGAGACAGTCTATAAAGTTTTGCAAGGACTTCTGTGAAAGGGTACAATATCTTAACTGATAGAGTCTAACTTTTTTTCAAAGTTTAAGAATTTCTAACATATTTCGAAAAGAGTTCTGGCGATTAATTATAAAAAAAATCGAAAGTTGACAAATAGTTTTCATATTTTAATCAGAATTAATTTGAATCATACTGTGTTTCAATAAAATTTAGACATTCTCGCAAAAAATTTAACTCATGGAAACTTATAAAATTTTTACGCGAGGAAAATCGCCAGAGCTCTTTTATTTCCATTTTTATATGTGAAATGGACTTACCTGGGAGCATTGATGATCGGCCGGCCCATTGCCCGTTGCTGGCGCTTCTCGTTGACGGGAAGGCGCAGATAATCCTGGTCGCCAAGGAGGAACAGATCCTTTGAAATAATCATGTCCACCGCGGTGGCTGCCGATTAACAGCTGGCCGCCTCTCCGGTTTGGTCTCCTAACTGGGCGATCCACCGCCTAGGCAATGTGGCACGTAGACGACGTGGCCGCCACACACGAGTTAATTAGAGCCTCACTTTCCCGGCACCGAATCACGTTCATCGACGATCAGAACGGAGCTACTATCCGGCACGAACGCGCACTTGACGCCGATGTTAACATCCCACGCGAACGGTTCGCGGATAATTTACGAAAACTCACGCCGATACAATCTCAACGCGGTGAATGAGCGATCGCGAAGTCTCTCGTCGGGAGAGAACGCAGATACTGAACGGAATCCTTTCAGATTGCAAAGGTAGATGATCCAGCGGCTGCGATTAGATCTTGACTGCGGCTGCCTATCGAGAGTCAATCTTAACGTCTACGAGGACGACGAGATGCACGACTCTTCGTGACGTTTCCCTCCCGCAGAGTCGATCGATCTAACAATAAATGCGACGACAGAGTTTGATCGAGAAGCGCGGCTCGCGGATTTCTGGACACCGGCGAACGTCCGCGCAATCGTCTGGCTGGATCGCGATAGTCTTCTCGAGAGGGGTCTTCCGTTCTCGGTCGAGAAAGCTCTCAAGATGGCTCTGATAGAGTCGATCGGTCTTCCGAGATCAGAACTTTAAATTTGTCGTCGTGCGACGTGTTACCTTGCACGCTGAATTCCGTGGATACATTAAAGGAGCAACACGACAGTTTTTCGATGTCGAATTTCTTGAAAGAACGGATGCACGAACGAATACACGTGAGAAAATATAGGTCGCAAAGTTCCACTCAAATCGAGGAATATTTTTCTCAGTTCGCTATCTCTCTTTTCGTTCGATGCAATGATAAATGGACGCCTCGTTTTTTTCTGAAACATAAAATAAACAGATACATTAAATTTTATCAGTAATGGATTCGATATTATGTATTTTTCTAATTGTTACGATTTGCCATTGTTAAATTCCCCTCTTCGAATGCCCTCACTTTCTAGTAAATGTTATTAAAAAATTAATTTTGTATGTTCATGTATGATTTATTCAATTTACTATTAAAATGTCGAATAAAAAAATAATAAAAACATTTATACGTATATTCCTATAAAAAACGAAATAATTGATATCAAATTGTATATGAGAAACGAAATTATTTTCCAACTACTTCATAGGAAATTTTATTTTTGTTACAATTTCTTTTCAAATAAATTGAGTTATTTGAGATTATTGTTAAATTAAGATTAAGATTATTGTATAATAAAGAGCAATTTAGATTTTTACATTTATGAAAAAAAATAACGTTAAAAAAATAATTTAGATAAAATAATTTAAATAATTTAGATGAAAATACATATTACATATTTTCGAAGATTTATTTATAGATGCGGATATCTTCCGTCAAAGCTGTGAGAAATATAAAATTATTATCTATTGTATTTTCAACACATGTATTCGCATGAATCTCTATGTATATACAAAATTTTAATACTATTCTAAAACACACAATTTGATATTTTCCTGAAACCTGCTGAATAAAATTCGGCCAAAAAATATACAAATAGAATTTTATTTTGTTAATCTGTTTCAAACATCATACAGAAAAATTGAAAATATATAAAATATAGCTTGATTACCTGATTCGCTAATAAATATAATGCATGTATTTTTTATCGAAAATCTTGCAAAACATGTTAATGCAAAGTAACTGTATATACTGCATAATAGTAATTGTATGTTATGACAATATTTAATACATATTTAATACATATTAAATAAAATTGTACTCACTAGCTAGAATATCGCAGTTTGTAATCTACATGTTGCAGATTTCACCTTAAATTGTCACGCATGAAATCTACCGAAGAACGCGATGAATAATAGAAATCCACGCTTAATTACGCGCATTACCGAATAAGTCAACCAAGCGCTTTACTCTCTTGAAAATCACAGATTCCTACCATTTTCAATACTACGCCACGCAAACGAAACGCAAACGCGAAATAAAACACTCTTTGTGCCGTAACATGTCCACTACATAATTTCTATAGCTGTACTATACATATGTACACTCAAAGCAAGCGAGACGAATGGCGGCTACTTGGCGGTCACGTAGAGGTTAGATACGTATACGCAGATATGTAAACAACACAACTATGTTTTATCTGATTCATTCGCAACGAGTTGAAATTCCAAAACACATTTAATGAAAAGTATATAACGCATCAATCTTTTTGAGCAAGAATAGGCATTTTGACATGGTTGACACCGAAATCTGTACTCACCGAGATTGTAGCCTGTTTCAGTCCACGACCCGGCCGGCAGTCAATCGACGAAACGCCGTTAATCGCGAACACCCGCGGTAAACAAGACATTCCGGTAATCGCCCGTCACTTTAAATGACACTCCCGACAAAAATTCTCACTCGTTCCGCACTTTTAACCGATAAAATACGCAATTAATCGCGAAGCATTTTCGTGCTCCGTCTTTCGAAAAACACGTAAAAAAACTGTCATGGCGATTAGAGCATGGATATACTTTAACTAGATAGGCTGCGTATATGTAGATACAAGATTTGTTACGCCGCTACATGGAAATTTGCGCAAAATACGATATTGTGTCTCTTAATATCGATGTATCGAATTACAAACGTATCGAAGTATTGTGATAACAATTACACGTTTTCTACACGTCATTCGACAAGCCACGATAATTTACGATGTTTTACTGTTTTAAAAAATTTTTATTTTATCCAGCATTTCGTATTTTGTCCTATTTTGCATCAATTCAATGATAAGACGAACTGTACATCAATGTGCGATCTAATCGAAGACGTAATCCAAGGAAATCTCTATTCACCTATGTAAGACGACACACTATGGGCGCACGGTGTACTTTTCATGAGATGTAAGATGGATAAATATATTTGTTGTATACGTATACGTATTGTACTCCGTGCGATTGTCAAAGATAATCATCGTTTTCTTTTTTGCCCATCCTGAACGCGATATGGTATCAATACATCATTGAATATAAAAGATGGTAATTATTAACTATAATTGTGTGTGAACGTATTGTCGCAAAACGTACGTTTTATCCCGCATTTGCGTTTCGTATACATTATGAAAATTTTACGACGCGAATCCGGGATTCTTAAAAATAAAAGTTAATTTAAAAAAACGCAAGTTAATTTTTGTTTAATAGTATACGTAACTAAATGCATACATTTACTATTCATTGATTCTTGGATCTGATATTAAACAGTCCAAGGCAAAATCTGCAGCGGATGAAATAAACTGCAATATTCTAGCTGCTAGAATTATTTATTATTTAAATATGTATATATATATATAATTTTGTAATATATACAAATATATTTATAATTATGTATCGAATAATGTGTCATTCTGTAACGAATAATTTATAATAAAATTCTGTACATTTCAATATTAATATCATGTTTAATTTATCGTACTTCTAGTAATTAAAAGGCTAGGGATCATTTGAGAAAAATAGAACACGATATCACCGACTTGCACCATTTTACACTCTACGTATTGCTAGCAAGAACTCATCTTGTATTTGCATCGTGCCAATTTTCGCATGCCAACTATTAAATATTAGTCACAAATGAATTAGACGTGTAAGCTCACAACTGTTTGCTAATCAAGATTTTGACAAGTGTTTCTAATCTATTAGTTTCTTGTTTGACAATCAAAAACCGTCACAAGTGGGAATATAATTTAATTAGAATGCGTTTATTTCGCCAATATTTGAGATTTTCTACGCAATTTAATTACTTTTCAGTTCATTATATGACCTGTTTCATACTTACATCATGTTATAAGTATCAAATATGTACAAATGTTTCCCCAATTTAAAGCATTTAAAGCAATTTAATTACAAACATCCTGAAGCAATATTTTTACTCAATTATTTGATAAACAGTAATGTTAGCATCAAACTAATAATTTTATAACAATATTATAATTCTATATTATAATTCTTCTAGTAATAAAAAATAAAAAAAGTTTCTTCAAAAAGTTTTCATAATTAATTTGTTATTTTATAATATTTTAAAGACGATTTTAATATATGAAATGTATATTTGCGAAAAAACCTACAAAAACAATTTCAAAAATCTTATTTTATAAAAAAATTAAGAACTCGAATTAAACAAAAATTTGTTATAAGAATATTCTATTGTATTTGCAACAGTATGACGTAATTTTCAATGCAATATGTGCAACTATTGTGTAGAATTGTTCTTATGTTTAAAATGAAGAAGACGATACGGGCGTTATCAAACAATTATCTCTTTTACTGAACATCTGACTAAATATTATACCAATGCAACCGTGATTACATCGTACATAATCACAGTATAATCAATTTCACAATTTCACAATAAAGAATTTCACAATTTAATGTAAATACTATCAACTGGATTTTAATGCATTCTTTTTAAGTAGCATAAAATATTCTATAAGACCCAATTATCAATCTTTTTCCACGATAATATAATGCGACTCGTTGATTATTATTCTGTTGGTCCTGAGATAAAGCTGTGCATTATTTTAACAATTTATTTTTGCAATCAAAAGGATTTTCGGACCGGAAAACTGTCGCGAGATCATAAATTTTACGCTGTTATACAATTTCCTTGGACTTGAGCGCGAAGACGTGAGAAAAATCGCGTATAAACTCTGTCCCAATCTGTCCGATTAGAATGTACGACTCGCGCTATTGGAATCGTTCCAAAGTCAATTTGTTCCTTTCGACGCTAAAGTCGGCGCGTCTAATTGTTCTCTCGTAACTTGAAACTTATGTCGACGACGATCATTATGAACGCGATGAAACACGCGCGATGATAAGATCAAGGTTCAGAATAGTCATAGCTGTTTTACGGAAGCACGTTTATGTCGTAAGGATTCACATGAAAATCATCTTCGTTGTTTAGAATAGTTCTATGCACGCGAAAACAAAATACACTTGCTTAAAATGCTCGTTAATGATCGCGACTGAATGACAAAGGTCAAATTACTCATAATATTCGGATTTCGAATTGATTGTCGTGAGAGTTATCAATGTAAATAAAAAATTGTAAAATCAAAAAGAGAGATACTCTTCGGCATAAGAACGCCAAGTGCGCGGTAATTAATAAATTTTTGTTTGCTATCATAATGACTTAATTTTGATGATTCCATGTAAGAATGAACAAGAATGGTGAATATATTTATATGTAATAGTTTGCATATACCATCGCGTAATAGTTTTAACGTTACATCGCGAAGAATGATGATTCTGAAAATGTTTAATAGTACGAGTTGCAAGTTGCAAATGGCAAGTTAACTTGCTGGATATCGTATGTATGTATGTATGTATGTATGTAATGTATGTATGTATGTA